AGTAACACGCTGCAGCCTCCAGCAGCGGCAGAGGCCCCGCGGGGTTCCTCGAGTATGGAAACCACATTGTTCTCTGCTATCCCCTGGAACTGCTATATGAAACCCCACTTCCGTCTTGTAAATTTCTCAGACTTTTTATTCTTAACTCACTTTTTTTTTTTTTAATNGCGGGGTTCCTCGAGTATGGAAACCACATTGTTCTCTGCTATCCCCTGGAACTGCTATATGAAACCCCACTTCCGTCTTGTAAATTTCTCAGACTTTTTATTCTTAACTCACTTTTTTTTTTTTTAATTAAAAAGCAACATCCCACATTCGCAAAGCCTAGAGTCTAGGGACATGAAAGAAAGTATAGTTCAGCTCTGATACCCACTTACCAGATCTCGCCCAAGGAGACAACTGACTTCACCAGTTGCCTCATCTGGGGAATCTATGAAAACATGACACGCATTCATCAAAGTTGTCAAGTGACACGGTGACATTCAGTGATGGTCTAATTAATGAGAGCCACACAGCTGATATCTCAGGGTCCCCTGCTCCCATCAGAGCAGCACAGTCATGTCCATTGGGAGGAGGGTACTGTTCTCTGACCACAGGCAGACCACCTACCCACTCATTAATGGACACAATGTCCTCCACGGTTGATGACCTCTTTGACCTCTGCGACCACAGCCCAGCCTTGTGAGTTGGACCCAAGGTCTTGGGGTGAGAAGCCTCAGCCCCAAGCCTTTCCACACCCAACACCCAGCTCATGCCCTTCAAGTAAGGACCATTCCATGCATCTTGGCTGAACCACAGTTGTATGGAGACTGGAGGATGTTTTGTTTTGTTTTGTTTTTAGTCATCTCATCTGTTCAGCAGACATCTGGGAGCACATGGTGCTCTGGGCACAACAAACACGATCCCTGCTTCCAAGAGCTCGCTGCTCCCCAACCACAAGGAGAGGGAAAAGGGTGATGAATGACACCGCAAGACAGGGCAAGAGAGAAAATGAGTGGGGAGACACTGAGTCCTCGAGCAGAGTCATCAGAAGAACACAGGACGCGCTGCGGAAAGATCGTCCTGCAAAGGCGAGGACTCGGCCTTCCAGCTGGGCCACTCACTAACGTGTGATCTCAGGTAAATTACCCTCTCTGCGTCTAAGCGTCCTCATCGATAAAATGGAGATGCATGCGTGTGTGCTAGAGTCACTTCAGTCGTGTCTGACTCTTTGTGGCCCCATGGACTGTAGCCAACCAGGCTCCTCTGTCCATGGAATTCTTCAGGCGAGAATACTGGAGTGGGCTGCCTTGCCCACCTCCAGGAGCTCTTCTTGACTCAGGAATCAAACACACGTTTCTTACATCTCCTGTATTAGTGGATTCTTTACAGCTAGCACTCATCTGGGAAGTCCAAAATGGAGACTGTGGGCTTGTAATTTGAGATGCAATAGATTATTACATCTATTTCAGAGAGTTGTTGTGAGGATTCATTGCGAGTAACTGACCAGTAACTGATAGTACTATGCATTTATTTTGGAGTAGGAAATGGCAACCCACTCTAGTATTCTTGCCTGGAGAATCCCACAGAAAGAAGAGCCTGGCAGGCTATGGTTCAGAGTCGCAGAGAGTTGGACATGACTGAAGCGACTTAGCATGCACACATGCATGCATCTATTTAATATTATTGCTACTGCCACATAATCTGGCTTCCAAATCTCCTAGCTGTGCACTCTTAATTAAATGATATAAACTCTTCAAGCCTCAGATTTAGCATGTGTAAAATGGGGATGATCATGGCACCTACAATCAGAGGGGTGGCATTAGGGCTAAATGTTTATGTTATGAGTTTGGTGATAGGTGAGACCATGTATAAAACACTTAGAATACTCCTTAGGACATAGTGAGCAACCAAGAAACTTAGGTTCATGTTATTATTATTGCACAGTCTATTGTACGAAACCTCACTCTTTTGTAAAAATATGCATACAGACTATTGGCAGGAGGGCAGAAGGAGTGAGAGACTGCAAATTGTAATTCTATTCAGACTGTAGATGCCATACTAGGTGAAAGGTTTCCTGGTTCTTCCACAAGGATCATTAGAGCTAATTGGAGGAAATAAAACCTCCTCAAAAGTTCCCTCACATTAGAATCTGCTGCTGAAGCATGCATTCTTTGGGGACTGCAAAAGATCCTCAAAAAAACGAAACTGGTGAGAACAAAGCAGAATAAAACGAAATTAGAGCAAAAAGTCCTCTGCTGGTTGAGGAGAAAACTACAAGCGTGAACCTCATGGTCACCCACGGTGACTTGGGGAGGGTGGCTCCCCTGGCAGAGCTAGAGTGGTCAGGGCCAGCCTGACTGGGGTCTGGGTAGCTTGGTGACATGTTGAATCAAGAAATACGGAAGGGAGGAAAGGAGGAAGGAGGGAAGGGGAGGGAGGACAAAAGAAAGAAGAGACCAACACACACACAATAAAACCCAAAGGGAAATAACCCAGAGACGTGAACCACTACAGTGTTGCAACCTGGAATCAGGTTATGTGCAAATCTAGCAATTTCTGTGCAAACAAAATCTGAGATTTCCTACTTGCTTCTCTGCACAGAGAATCACAAGAGGCCGAGCCCATGTTTGAGGGTTTAAGGGCTGCCCCTCCACAGAAGTGCACCCCATCATGGCGGCCCTTCCTCGTCCAGTGAGAGAGGGCCTAAGGAGGACCACGCCCATCCTACGGAGACTCCAGCACCCCTGTCCCCCTTCGGCCCAGCTCACACCCCCACTCAGGCCCGCGGCCAGTGGGCTGGCGTCAGGCAGATCCCCGCTCCTCTAACCCCCGCCCTGGAGGGCTCCCTCCACTGGGAGGGTCTCTCCGCTGCGTGGTGGGAAGACAGTCAGCCCCAGAGGCTGCCTAAGTGTCAGCGGGGCTCCAGGGGGGCCTCCGCGCCAGAGCTGGGCTGTAGAAGCCCCACGGTATCCCACTTCTTCCATCTACAACCAGTCAAGACCAGTGAGCCTAAACACACATCAAAATGCAAACAAATGTGAGAGCGAGAGAGAGATGGACAGAGAGGCCCAGAGAAAGCCAGCAAGAGGCATGGTAGTGAAGACAAAGAGAGAAGCCAGCAGGTACACGATCATGCGATTTTTAAGAGGAGCTGCTCCTACCCAGGCCTGGCTCCGGGCCGAGCCTATGCTGGCAGGGTCCAGATTCTCCTGAGCCTGGGGGCTGCCTGCTGAAGACCACACCCAGCCCACCCATATCCCCTCACTGTTCCTATACTATGGGAGCTACTGTCTGCAAGACCCCTTGGTCCTGCTTCTTTATCTCCTGATGTCTACAGAGCTGACTACCTTCCACCTTCTTGAAAGTACCACTCCAGTCATGTCTACAGTGTTCTCCAGTACGACTGTCTCCGTCTTATCTCCTGGGGGCTACACTTTGCAGCCAAGGGTTGGGGACCAAGGGCATACGCCAAGGACACTACGTGCCATTCACTATATTGCTTCAGAGGCTTGCTTTTGTGTTTCTTTCTAAACAGCCTGAGATCAGGACATATCTGAAGCGTCCATGAAATCCTTTACAAAGCAGACACACAGCTATTTCAGGTATGAGGCAGTCAAATCTTTAACCTTTGCTCAAAATCATCCCTAATTCAGGGTTCCGTGGAAGAGGTGGATCCCAGAACCAAAGAAAACCTAGCAACCCTTGGGGGCATGGGTGTTAGCTTGCAGAGACGAAGGAGTATGGGTGCCTGCAGGCTTCGACAGGCCCTTAAATCACACCCCTCCTCTGGCAATGTCCTGACGAGTCAGCTCTGTAACCCATGCCCCTTCCTCAACATTTTCTACCCCGGGGGTATTGCCTCATGCATCATCCATAAACCTTAGAGGACAATTGTAGCAGGGGTAAAACCGTGGCTACCAGCACCACGGTTGTCTCTCCAAGAATCTTCATGTACAGAGAATGGGAATACTGCCACACTGCCATGCAGTCAGCTCAGCGCTGGCCCAGCCTGGGAAACTTTATTTAAGCAAGCACATCATTCTTTCCACGAACCTTCTTAACTTCTACCTCCTGCGGACTCTCATCAAATTCCAGAGCGTAAGAGCCCCGCTTACAATCACTGACATTCTGTGTGGCCCTCCTGTGTGTGGTATGGTTTGTAGACACTGGAAATTGGCGTTAGCATTTCAGGAGGCAGGGTAGAACGGGAGACAGGCTCATTCTACCTTACACAAAACATAGCCAAGATTCTTCTTCTCTTCCTCCTCCACCTCCTATCAGCCTGAACCCCAGAAGTCCACCAGGACCCAACTCAACAATAAATTCCCCTTTCCGTTGGGTAGATGAGCTTTGCACACACTGCTGTGGAGGATAGCACCACTGACAGAGTAAGTGATATTTCCAAGGGGAAATCAGACTTATCTCCATGGCTTCGATCTCAAGGCCATGTTCAGATAGAGAAAGCATGGCCCTCTGGTCACCAGCTCGAGGCACGAAGGTGCTCCAGGAAAGCCCAGACACAGTCAGACCCAGGGCAAAACAGCCGCCCGACCAGAGTCTGGGAGCTGGCTGGCAATGTCCCATGGCATGGGCAGAGTGATGGCATTCACAGGAAGCCAGACCCGACCTCTGGGACTCATTAACTTCAGAGAAGACTGCTCGCGCGGAGCCCCAGCCAGGCCCCCAATCACCACGCCACCAGCTTCGGGCAACAGACAGCGCTCTGGACACTGGCCTCCACATCAGAGAGCCCCTGGCCCAGCGCCCCTCCTGCTTACCAAGTCCTGAGCCAAGGAGGCCAGGTTTGGGAAACAGCTCATCGCTGGAACCGCTGAACGTTTCCCCATGACCACCACCTTTCCAGGCAGCACACCCAGCTCAGCCATGAATAGGGCAGCCCAGCGAAGCAGCGAAGCCTCCCTGCAGCAGCTCCGCAGGACACACCTGCACCCCTGGCGCTCTCCCCCCACGTCCCCTCCACAAATCAGTCGATTCAGAGAGGGATGGCGGCTCCCTACCTCAGGGTGGCGCTCTCCCCCTGCCGGACCGTCACGTTGTCCATCGCCTTGGGGAAGGTGGCATCTCCGCTGCGCACGGGCACTCCTGTGGGTACAAGGAACAGCAGCCTGAGAGACACGACCACGAGGCACTTCCAGGGCAGGAACAGGGACCCACAGACCCCCATCCTCGACAGCCACAACTTCCCAGAACTCCGGCGGCGGCTCGGCACACGCCCCCCGGGCGCNGCCGGCCTCCCGGGAGCAGCCCCGACGCGCGCGGGCCCCGACCGCCGGGGTTGTCATGGCAGCAGCTCCATCACTGACCGCCGCTCTCCGCGGTGCCGGCGCCGAGCGAGCGGGCGGACCGCGCGCATCCCGGCGGGCGGCAGGCGCGGGGCGCGGGGCGCGGGCGCCCACCTTAACCCCCGCCGCGCCGCGCTGCGGCCGTGCACGAGCCCGGGCGAGGAGTTTAACCATTTCCCCCCTTGAGGAGCTGTCATTTCCAAATTAAGAAGAAAGGCAAAGTTACCACGCGGTCTTAATAAGCCCGAGACATCTTAATAAGGGTCACAAACTAATTAACTAGGAAAGGAAAACCCTGAAGCATGCACGTGTGCACGTTTAAAATTATCAGATTAATTCATTAGCGTTTAGAGTAAATGTAAAGTGTTGGGAGGATGTTTTAGAATAATTCCATTTATTATTCAACAGTCAACGCCCACCCCACAACCCCCCCCCCCAAAAAAAAGCTCCTTCAAACATCATTATAGAGATCTTCCGTATATAAAACCAATGCAAAATCACAGAAGCCTCTTAGTGTGCAAATCTGGCAAAACCACATCAAAATGTTGGTCAAGTTCCGACACTGACTTACATTCTCTATTCTTGTTCGGTCGACATGAAAAGATGCTGGCCCTGCAGAGTGCTCACTTCAGATGAATGAGTGTGAGCCCCTGGCATTACTGATACGGAAGATTCCCAAGTGTCCAAGGCTTCACACTCTTGCAGAGCCGGTTTCCTCTTAAGAGGTATGTTTCTCAAATTCTTGAAACTCAGGGGAAGGCTGCACTGGCCTCAGTTCCTGTCACTTCTCTCTGGCTGCTGTGTGCCCACCTTCGTATGTTTCCTCTCACTTCAGCCTTGATGGAATGTGGCTCCTTCCCTCCTGGGCCAGGCTCCTGAGCGTGGGGGGAGCCCCGAGCTGCACACAGCCCACCCCGCATGCTAACACCAACATGGTTCTCTGCTTGGGGACTCCTGTCTGAGCTCCCTGCACTGACCCAGATTCTCCCTGGGGAAAGAGAAGAGGCAGTGTGGCTTTGTTTTTCCCCTGGACTTTCTCCCAAATCCAACCAGGAAGCTTTTTTTTTTTTAAACAGCTGTTGAAAAGCAACAATAACAACAACAAAATGTGTTCTTCTCAAAGTCATCCAGCCACCACCAAAAAGAAGCTGAATTTTTCCAACTAAATCACTGTCATATAAGGGTCCTGGTGCCATAAAGTCGTGTGTCTTTCAACGGATCATCCCAGGTACGTGTAGACAACACGTGTGTGAATGGTACACAAGCATTTCACTCATACCCTGTGCCCACAACTGCCCTGGGTTGGAAGGGATGGAGATGCGTGTGCAGATGTTGAGGCCAAACAAGGCAACAAAGAAAGACTGAGAAGGTATGGCTTCCTCTTTTAACAGGTAACCAGCAAGTGTGCATGCATGCACGCTCAGTCGCTTCAGTCATGTCTGACTCTCTGCGACCCCATGGACTGTAGCCCTCCAGGCTCCTCTGTCCACAGGATTCTACAGGCTAGAATACTGGAGTGGCTTGGTCATGCCCTCCTCCAGGAGATCCCAACCCAGGGATGGACCCCGGATCTCCTACACTGCAGGATTTCAGGTGGATTCTTCATCCACTTAGTCACCTGGGAAGCCCCTAGAAAATGTACTACCAGGTAAAGTTGAGCAACTCACACTGAAGATTGAACTTAATCCATCACTAGGCCCATTTCCCCCTCGTTTCCTCTGCTGACTTTTCCAATATTAAATTCTCAGGGAAATCCATCTGCTACTTTTAGCTGGTGGGGCCATATGATATATACCAAAAAAAAGAAAAATCAATTGTCAACTTGTGACCACAAAGGATGACTTTGCTCTCAGGAAAACCAAAATGATGTCTATGGGGAGCAGGAGATTTTGTTTATGTTTTTGAAAGAAGAAGAGAATTAACCGATTTCAGCACTAGTCCATTCTTGCCAGACCCTATTTTGTCTCGATATTTGCAGTGGGAAATCTCGGGAAAATAGGAAATCGCATGATTTCCCCAAGCTCAAATGTTATATGATAGCAGATGTTAGGTGTGAGATCATGATTGCTGACCTCAGTCTGCTGAATTTGGGGTTCTTCCATAGGGGCCAAAGAGTTATCTCTGACCATCCATCACCACTGTATCCACCCCTCCAATTCTTCTTGGTAAACAGGTCTTAGCACCTCAAGTAGAAATAGAGAAGGGAGAGGGACTCTTTCTGGGGTTTGGAGTCAGTTCCCTCCAGGCTTGAGAATGGCAGGCATGACTCCTTTCATGATAAATTCTCATCCTGGCTCTTGCATCTAATTCCCAGGTAGGTACAAATGAGCATTAGTTTTTGCATCTCGGAATGTGGGTAATGACAACAACCAGCCTTCCCGAGGGGCCTACAGACATGATTAACTCTACGGTAAAATACTTAGAAATCCATTTAAGGTGGAAGATGGTTTATTAATATATTTTGCCTGCCACTGCTTCATTATTATAGCCAGGCAGAAAAAAGAACTCTTCTCACAGGCTCTGTAGGATGTTCGGCTTATGCCAGTCTGCGGGCACTTGGTCTGAGATAGACACACTGTCTTTGTGTCTGGCTGGGGAAGGGACAGTGGTGAGCTGCAGCCTCCTGGCCTGGCCGACAGGAAACCCAGCAGAGACCAGGGTGGACAAAGAAAAGCCACTGGCAACCTCATAGCACCTTCGTGGACCCAGGGATCCAAACTTCATTCAAAAATGGAAGTTGAGAAAGCAGTGAGAGGTCAGAGATGCCGGCACAATTAACAAGGCAGAATCCATTTTATTGAAACTCGTGATTGAAGCGGTTTGAATAGATGAAGATCAAAATCATATGTCAGCTCCCGTCTCATCTCCTAATCCCTAAATATAACCAACACTTAGTGGCTTATCTTATATCCTGTCTCTTGCTTCATAAAAACTGCTGGATTTATTTTATTTTTTTTCCCAGCATATCCGAGTTAATGAAAAAGGAATGACAGTCAGAGCAATTTCATTATTTGTGTTCTTTATAGAAACAACTTCCTTTCTACCTCCTGGAAAGAGGATTCCTAACGAGCGCCCACCTCCACCTTCTCCCCCGCCATGCCCCCCGGCCCATCTCTCTCTGCACCCCCCTCTTCCCTCCTGCATACACATATACTGTACACATAAATCAACTTGTCACAGCTTGTCTCTGTGCTGACAGCTGTAATTGCTGCAGGTTATAAAAATATCTATAGGACAATGCCTTTCAAGCTCTCAGGCACACACATACATACTCACACAAACTGTCTGAATGAAAGAAAACAATCATATTCCCTTTAATAATCTTGCGACTGCAAAGGAGGGGGCACGGAGGAGCTTGCCGTGTGGACTGGAGGGCTGGCAGGCAGGTGAGGACGTGGGGGAGACGAAGACTCTAGCAGTGGCAGCATCTCCACACTTAAGAAGGGATGGAGAAGGGAACATTGCCAATGGAAGGGAAATCAGCTGTTTTTGTTTTTCCCTGTGTTACCTACAGCAAGCTGGGGTTGGTTGAAGAGCAGTGAATTCTGCACACACACAAGAGACCGAAAGAAGAGCTCTAGCCTGAGACATGCCATGCTGCTGCTGCCTTCTCTAAAAAGGCGAAAGGCCCCCCTCTCCTGGTGGAGATTCCAAATAGGAGCTCAGGCGAGAAGATGCTGCTTGCAGGGTGGTTACAGAGAACGGGGTGGCACCAAACGGACATCAGGACGTTTCATTAGGAGGAGCAGGGTCCATCTGGATCAGGGATAGCTCTAAGGGAGCGGGGAAGGGCTGGGCTCTAGAAGAATATCTGCTATTTTGTCGTGCAGAGGATCAAAAAATCATTGGTCATCTGGGCGAGTGTCTGGTGTGTGAGGATTCCAGAGGGAAGAGCCAAAGAGCAGCCTGAAGAAGAGAAATAAGCATCAGGAAAAGAAAGTGGTCATTAATGGAGAGAACTGAGGAGGAAGGGAACAAGGGCAAAGGTGAGGCTGCTCCTGGACTCTGAGAGCCATGAAACTTTGTAAGTTACGTCGAGAGGAGAGGCTGTCAGCAGAGTAATAGGCAGACAGAAAAGGAAAGAAGAGCCAGGCAAATGAGCAAAATCAAAGTGACGTCAAAGCAAACTCCAGATACCCAGAGGGGAACAGCACTAGAGTCAGGAGTCCTGAGAGGAACCCTCTCTCCTTTTCTACATTTGGGGTCATCACAAGACCCTGGGGTCACAGCATGAGAGAGTGGTAGGGTCAGAGGGCACCTTGAAAGACGTGTAATCCACTCATTCCATAAGGAGGTGGGGAGTGAAGCCTGCAGAGAGGACCCATTATCATGGGAATAAAGTTAACCCCTGGTAAATCAAGACTAGAACTCAGGGCTACTGGCCACTGCCCTGTTCTCTTGGCCGTACCTGGCAGGTAAGGACACTGCTTAAGAACCAAATGACAAAATATCTCCCATGGCTGCTACATCTGTGCAAGAGAGAACCACAGAAGTGTTATTGCCTGGTATCGATACTTCTGAGTGTCCGATTATTCAGCTGAATTCAGTGTAGCCAGGAAACGCTGAAGGTAACCAAGTAGACTTTGAGCTCTTCCTATGGAGCAGAAAGTTAGAGATACAAGATGAAAGACATCACCCTGCCCTCAGTTTGCCTACAGCTGAGTGCTGCTGGGTTTGTCCATGGTTCTTTTTGCATTCATATCCCTGGAAGCCCCTGAGAACAGTCTTATTGCCAAGAATGAGTTGGGATGTGGCTCAGTGATGGAGACCACCTTCCAGTGCCCGGGGTTGGGGAGCTAAGATCTCACATGACTTGTGGCCAAAAAATCAATACTCGAAACAGAAACAATATTGTAACAAGTTAAAGACTTGAAAATTGGTCCATATCAAAAAAAAAAAATCTTAAAAAAAACAAAAATAAAGTGGCATCGGAGG